TTCTAAATAAATAAATAAATATATACAGTGGACCCCCGCATACCAATTTTAATCCATGCAAGAGGGGTCATTGTTATGCGAAATAATCGGTATGCGAATGAATTTTCCCCATAAGAAATAATGGAAATCAAATTAATCCGTGCAAGAGACCCAAAAGTATGAAAAAAATTTTTTTTTACCACATGAAATGTTAATTTTAATACACACAAACTGAAAAAGGCATGCACACTTACATGACACTTACTTTTATTGAAGATCTGGTGATGATTAATGGGATGGGAGGAGGGGAGAGAGAGTGTTAGTGTTTAGAAGGAGAATCCCCTCCATTAAGACTTGAGGTGTCAAGTCCTTTTCTGGGGTTACTTCCCTTCTTCTTTTAATGCCACTAGGACCAGCTTCAGAGTCACTGGACTTCTTTCGCACAACATATGTGTCCATAGTGGCCTGTACCTCTCGTTCCTTTATGACTTCCCTAAAGTGTTTCACAACATTGTCAGTGTAATAATCACCAGCACAGCTTGCAATAGCTGTGTGAGGGTGATACTCATCCATAAAGGTTTGCACTTTCAGCCACATTCCACAGATTTCCTTAATCTTTGTAGTAGGCAACTTCTTCAATTTCTCTCTCCCCTCCTCTGAACCAGTTTTCTCAGGTCTGGCCTCTTGCTCTTGAAGTTGATCTATCAGCTCATCAGTGGTTAGTTCTTCATTGTCCTCCTCCACCAACTCTTCCACATCCTCCCACTAACCTCCAACCCCAAGGACTTTCCCAATGCCACAATGGATTCCTCAACTGGCATAATCCTCTCAGGGTTAGCCTCAAACCCTTCAAAATCCCTTTTGTCTACACATTCTGGCCACAGTTTCTTCCAAGCAGAGTTCAAGGTCTTCTTAGTCACTCCCTCCCAAGCCTTACCTATAAGGTTTACACAATTGAGGATATTAAAGTGCTCTCTCCAAAACTCTCTTAGAGTCAGTTGAGTTTCTGAGGTCACTACAAAGCACTTTTAAAAACAGAGCTTTTGTGTACAGTTTCTTGAAGTTTGCAATAACCTGCTGGTCCATGGGCTGCAGGAGAGGAGTGGTATTAGGAGGCAAAAACTTCACCTTAATGAATTTCATGTCCCCATAAAGTCGCTCTGCCACGTCTGTAGGATGACCAGGGGCATTGTCTAACACCAGGAGGCACTTAAGTTCTAATTTCTTTTCAGTTAGGTAAAACTTTCACATTGGGGGCAAATGCATGGTGTAACCAGTCATAGAAAAGTCCCTAGTGACCCATGCCTTACTGTTTGCCCTCCACAGCACACACAAATTCTCCTTGAGGACATTCTTTTGCCTGAACAGTCTGGGAGTTTCAGAGTGATACACTAATAAAGGCTTAACTTTGCAATCACCAGTAGCATTGGAACACATCAACAAAGTAAGCCTGTCTTTCATAGGCTTATGTCCTGGGAGTGCCTTTTTCCTCCTGAGTAATGTAGGTCCTGCTTGGCATTTTCTTCCAAAACAGGCCTGTTTCATCACAATTAAACACTTGTTCAGGTTTCAGTCCTTCAGTCTCTATGTACTTCTTGAATTCCTGCACATATTTTTCAGCGCTTTGTGGTCCGAACTGGCAGCCTCACCATGCCTTATCACACTATGTATGCCACTATGCTTCTTAAATCTCTCAAAAACCAACCTTTGCTGGCCTTAAATTCACTCACATCAGCACTAGTTGCAGGCATTTTTTTAATTAAATCCTGATGCAACTTCCTAGCCTTTTCGCTTATGATCGCTTGAGAGATGCTATCTCCTGCTAGCTGTTTTTCATTTATCCACACCAATAAGAGTCTCTCAACATCTTCCATCACTTGCGGGTCTTTGTTTCGAAAACACAGTTTAAACCTTTGGCAAGAACAGCTTCCTTGATTGCCTTTCTGGTGCCCACAATAGTAGCGATGGTTGATTGGGGTTTCTTGTACAACCTGACCAGGTCGGCGATACGCACTCCACTTTCATACTTATCAATGATCTCTTTCTTCATTTCTATTGGAATTCTCACCCTTATTGGTGTAGGGTTGGCACTAGAAGCTTTCTTGGGGCCCATGGTCACTTATTTTCCCGAAACAGCACCGAAAACACTGTAATAATACAAAATATTCCGATTGTATGCTTGGATGTTACCGCGGAGGCTGGCTGGTAAACAATGGCACGGGCGGCACATGTGAGGCTGGCTGAGGGCGCACATTGGGACACGTCTCGGACGAAAATCGGTGAGTGGGTTTTTTAAGCGGTATGTGAGGCAAAATTTTTGCGATTAAAGCAAGCGGTATGTGGATTAATCGTTATGTGGTGCCATTGGTATGCGGGGGTCCACTGTATATATATATATATATATTTTTTTTTTTTTTTTTCAACAAGTCGGCCGTCTCCCACCGAGGCAGGGTGACCCAAAAAAGAAAGAAAATCCCCAAAAAGAAAATTCATTCATCATCATTCAACACTTTCACTACACACACACATTATCACTGCTTTTGCAGAGGTGCTCAGAATACAACAGTTTAGAAGCATATACAGTGGACCCCCGCATAGCGACTTTAATCCGTGCAAGAGGGCTCATTGTTATGCGAAATGATCGGTATGCGAATGAATTTTCCCCATAAGAAATAATGGAAATCAAATTAATCCGTGCAAGACACCCAAAAGTATGCAAAAAAATTTTTTACCACATGAAATATACATTTTCCTACACACAGAGAGAAGGATACATGCACAATAGTAGAGTAGTACATGCACAATATATATTGTGCATGTACTACTCTACTAAATGAAGAATAAATGACACTTACCTTTATTGAAGATGCAGCAATGACTGATGAGACACCGTTGTCCTGGGAGTGCCTTTTCCTCCTGAGTACTGTAGGCCTGTTTGGCATTTTCTTCCAGAACAGGCCTTATCACACTGTGTATGCCACTACGATTCTTAAATCTCTCAAACCAACCTTTGCTGGCTTTAAATTCACCAATATGAGCACTAGTTCCAGGCATTTTTCCCTGTTCACCTGGGTGTTAGTCGACTGGTGTGGGTTGCATCCTGGGGGACAAGATTAAGGACCCCAATGGAAATAAGTTAGACAGTCTTCGATGACACTGACTTTTTTGGGTTATCCTGGGTGGCAAATCCTCTGGGGTTAATTGTTTCTTGGTATTCTCAATAAGCCACACCAACAACGGTGCTACAGCAGCAGCAGCAGCAGCAGCAGATGATGCTACAGCAGCAGCAGACGATGCTACAGCAGCAGCAGACGATGCTACAGCAGCAGCAGACGATGCTACAGCAGCAGCAGACGGTACTACAGCAGCAGCAGACGGTACTACAACAGCAGCAGCAGCAGCTGACAGTGGTACAACAGTAGCAGCAGCTGACAGTGCTACAGCAGCAGCAGACAATGCTACAGCAGCAGCAGACGGTACTACAGCAGCAGCAGCAGCTGACGGTGGTACAGCAGCAGCAGCAGCTGTACCACCAATAGTAGCGATGGTTGATTGGGGTTTATTATACAACCTGGCCAGCTCAGAGACACGCACTCCACTTTCATACTTATCAATGATCTTTTTCTTCATCTCTATAGTAATTCTCACCCTTATTGCTGTAGGGTTGGCACTAGAAGCTTTCTTGGGGCCCATGGTCACTTATTTTGCAGATAAAATCACCAAAAACACTGTAATAATACGAAATGTTCCGATTGTATGCTTGGATGTTACCGCGGAGGCTGGCTGGTAAACAATGCCACCGGCGGCACATGTGAGGCTGGCTAAGGGCGCACATTGGACGCGTCTTGGACGAAGAGCAGTGAGCGGGTTTTTGAGCGGTATGCGAGGCAAAATTTTTGCGATAAAAGCGAGCGGTATGCGGATTGTACGTTATGTGATGGCGACGGTATGCGGGGGTCCACTGTATGTATAAAGATACACTACATATCCCTCCCAACTGCCAATATCCCAAACCCCTCATTTAAAGTGCAGGCATTGTACTTCCCATTTCCATGACTCAAGTCCGACTATATGAAAATAACCGGTTTCCCTGAATCCCTTCACTAAATATTACCCTGCTCACACTCCAACAGATCGTCAGGTCCCAAGTATCATTCGTCTCCATTCACTTCTATCTAACACGCTCATGCACGCTTGCTGGAAATCCAAGCCTCTCGCCCACAAAACCTCCTTTACCCCCTCTTTCCAACCCTTTTGAGGACGACCCCTACCCCTCCTTCCTTCCCCTATAGATTTATATGCTTTCCATGTCATTCTACTTTGATCCCTTCTCTCTAAATGACCAAACCACCTCAACAACCCCTCTTCTGCCCTCTGACTAATGCTTTTATTAACTCCACACCTTCTCCTAATTTCCACACTCCGAATTTTCTGCATAATATTTACACCACACATTGCCCTTAGACAGGACATCTCCACTGCCTCCAACCGTCTCCTCGCTGCTGCATTTACCACCCAAGCTTCACATCCATATAAGAGTGTTGGTACTATTATACTTTCATACATTCCCTTCTTTGCCTCCATAGATAACGTTTTTTGACTCCACATATACCTCAACGCACCGCTCACCTTTTTTCCCCTCATCAATTCTATGATTAACCTCATCCTTCATAAATCCATCCACCGACACGTCAACTCCCAAGTATCTGAAAACATTCACTTCTTCCATACTACTCCTCCCCAATTTGATATCCAATTTTTCTTTATCTAAATCATTTGATACCCTCATCACCTTACTCTTTTCCATGTTCACTTTCAACTTTCTACCTTTACACACATTCTCAAACTCATCCACTAGCCTTTGTAATTTTGTAATTTTTATATATATATATACACATGTATACATGTATATATACGTATATATATATATACATGTATATATATATATATCATACACACACACACACGCACACACACACACACATACTTGTATACATATTTATTTATTTTTTGTCTTTTAGGAACTTACAAGCAGCAGTTTGTGCCTATTTTGATCTTCAGTCATTCAACAAGCTTCCACAGATGACTTTTGTTAAAGATATTACTATTGGGGAAGGGGAGAGCGTGCCACCTAGTACAAGGTAATTGAATTTTTGTTCATGATGCATATTCATCATTTTTTTTTTTTTTAAATTTTATCATGACTGCTTTAATTTTTGTAGTTATTAAATTGAGTACAGTTTTTAACACTTGTATCTATATGTAAAGACAGAAATTTCTGTCATATTGCGAGCATTTGCTTTAAGGTGCATAAAATGTGTGTTTTATGCTACAGTTAATTAAAAGATTAAGGTACTTTAAGTTGCTCGAGAGACTTTTATGCATTTTTTGAATATTTTAACATAAATGCTTCCAAAGAAATATTTTAGATAAAATAAATTGTTACTAATGTTCAAAGCAGATATTACCATAGGGAGTACTGTTGCATCTTACATGAGTATATTCTTTAGTTACAAGGTTTTTCCTTTAGAATGCGTTATTTTTTATGTGGTTTGCAAAGGATATTAGCAATGAGAATGAATTGAAAACTACTTATGTATACAGCAGTACCTCAGTATGTGAACTTAATTCATTCTAGAAGGCTGTTTGAGTGCCAATCTTTGCGAGTACTGAATGAATTTTTCCCCATAAGCATTAATGTAAATTATTCCTTATGGTTGGCTGTTATCACTAATCTTAGGCCCCATAGTAACTTATATTTACAAATACTGTAATATAAAAAAAATATGCGGAGAAACGTGAAATAGTTTACAGTGAAATTCTGGCAGGTCGTGTTTGTTTGGTTGAGTGCCAAGCAAACGGTAGACTACCGAGCAATTATTTTACTGAACAGAGTGTTCGAATACCGAATTGTTCGAGTTGGGAGCTGTTCGAGTACCAAGGTACTACTGTATAATGTATAATGAATAAATATTTTTCTGCCACTGACTGATGCATATATTTTCTAGTAGTTTCCTTGACAAGCATATATTTACTTGAAACATTAATATTTAAATACTGTACTGTGATGTTAATTAATGTCAGGACAGAGTTGATGTATGTTAAATATTTTCTGCAGATTCATAAAAACGTGGCGTATCCAGAATACGGGTGAAGATGGTTGGCCAAGTGGTTGTAGCCTAATATTTACTGGTGGGGAACAACTTGGTGCTCCATCACATATTTCTGTTTCATCTCTTGGAGCTGGAGAAGTTGCTGATATTTCAGTAGAGATGATGTCTCCTGCGCAAACTGGTTTATATTCTTCTAAATGGCGGATGTCTACTGCTCAAGGAAATTTTTTTGGAGGTGACTTTAACAAGCTTTTGTAAATTAGATCAGTATATTAGTCATTATTATTACAACCTTATTATTATTATTTTGTATTATTATTATTGTTTTTGTTGTTATTGTAATTGTTATTTTGTAATTGTTTTAAAATATCTGTGTTAACTAAATAAATTTGTGACATGAATGCAATATTACAAAAAAAAAAAAAAATACACAAATCACTTCAGTTCCTTAACCATTCTTACTTAGTGGTGATAATGATGTAGCAGAAATTGTACTAACGACATACAGTACAGTACTCTCACACATGCATGGATGATGTGCTTGTCATTGAGTCAGTCATGTTAAGAGCTGTTGGATCTGGCTAGTGATTAGATGGATAACCATGTTGATACAGCCATGGGCTTCATTATTCCAACAAGTTATAGCATACTGTAACCAGGTTGTAGAAATTCCATTTGTATAGAGATGAAGAAACATCAGATTGCAGGCATTATTGCATGAGATCTTGCATAAAAATGATTGGTGCCACCATGGAAGAGGTTTGTTAAGAAGGAAAAACTTGTACCTCACTGGTAGCATATACAGTGGAACCTTGACTTATGAGTGTCCCAACCTACGAGTTTTTTGAGATACGAGCCATCCCTGGGTCGATTTTTTGCTCTGAGCTACGAGCCAACATTTGAGTTACAAGCCAGCTCCCCCCCCCCCCCTCCTCTTTCCTCTCAACCCAAAACCTGGACATCTCGCTTGTTTATCTATGATTTCATGCTTTAATTCCATGGAAATCATTCAGCCAGTCATGTCTCTTAGTAAGTCAGTCAAGTCACTCAGTAAGTCAGTCAAGCCAATCAGTCAGTCACACAAACTCATGTTTACCTTTTTTTCTCTGTACAAAGTAACACTTCATTACGGCTACAGGTTATCTCTTGTCTAATATCTTTGTTTCTTTGTTAAGTCTAAGACTTAAGTGCTTATACCTCTTCATGCCACTTTCAGGAACACGGGTATGCCTACTGGGTGTCATGATTGCTTGGCAGATACAAGATATAGTAATTAAAATATCATAACACAATTCACAAACACAGCTGCCTTGTAACAGAGAAAGATTGGACTGGACACGTATGAATTACAAACCCTGGGGTGGTGTCGGGGAGTAGTAGGGGATGGCGGGAGGGCTCCCCGGCTGCTCCACAACAAGGTGGCCGCTTGAGCAAACAAGAATTTTTTTTTCCTTCCCACAAACTGAACCATGTTAAAGTAATTATAGGACATGTTACATAAAATTGTGCCACAATTCATCAGTGGCAGTCTACTGTATTATTATAATAATGATAGAGCTTCAGTTCCCTAAATTAATAATAATAATAATAATAATAATATACAACTAATAATATAATAATAATATTATTATTATTATGATTATTATTATTATTATTCATCAGTGGCAGTCTACTGTATTATTATAATAATGATAGAGCTTCAGTTCCCTAAATTAATAATAGTAATAATATACTACTACTACTAATAATGACATTATTATTATGGTTGTTATTATTATGATTTATTATTATAATGATAGAGCTTCAGTTCCCTAAATAATAATAATAATTATAATAATTATTATAATGATAGAGCTTCAATTCTCTAAATTAATAATAATAATAATATATAGTCGGACTTGAGTCCTGGAAATGGGAAGTACAATGCCTGCACTTTAAAGGAGGGGTTTGGGATATTGGCAGTTTGGAGGGATATGTTGTGTATCTTTATACGTATATGCTTCTAAAGTGTTGTATTCTGAGCACCTCTGCAAAAGCAGTGATAATGTGTGAGTGTGATGAAAGTGTTGAATGATGATGAAAGTATTTTCTTTTTGGGGATTTTCTTTCTTTTTTGGGTCACCCTGCCTCGGTGGGAGACGACCCACTTGTTGAAAAAAAAAAAAAAAATAATAATGCATAATATGTACTGTACATAATAATGATTCAGATTGCTTCTGCTAGTTGGCACAGCTGATAGCACAGCTGGTAAGCAGTAAACATGGTTACATCACTGTGGGAGCAGTTATCTCATGCTTGTTTGCATTTTTTACAGTCATTAGGCCAAATTTCTTTTTTCTAACCATGGGTCCTAAGAAAATACTAAGTGCAAAGGACAGTGCTGAGAAGAAAAGGATGGTGATTTCCATCAACATCCTTCACCCACACTTTATATAAACAATTATTTATTAATTTATTGTTTCAGAGTTTTCCTTAGGAAACTAGTGATCTACTGCAGTTAGCCTTAAAAATACTCCATTTTCTCTTACAGTAAGAACATGGGAAGATACTACAGGTCCGCCATCACAAATCCGGCAATCAGTTATTCGGTTCCTTCAGTTATTTGGCACTAATTTTGGCTTGCATAATTTCAAATTTCCAGGGTCGCCACACCAACCTGCTGGTACTGTTTGGTGGCGCTACTTGCTGCACAAGTCATTCCAATTTCTTTTTCTCCATTTATTGTTATTATTATTATTTTATTATCACACTGGCCGATTCCCACCAAGACAGGGTGGCCCGAAAAAGAAAAACTTTCACCATCATTCACTCCATCACTGTCTTGCCAGAAGGGTGCTTTACACTACAGTCTATAAACTGCAACATTAACACCCCTCCTTATTGTTATAACCTGCTTACTTTTAGCCCTAGCCATGGTTCCAATGAATAAAAGAAATGCTTCTCATTATGTAAAGCACCTACACAGTACATTATCCATTAAAGATAAGTTGACTTTGAAGCCACTGTCGGTTGCCATGAACTCAGTCTCATGAAGCAGGAAAATGTGCTTTATTATTACGCTAATATCAACACTACAGCTTATTTGCGTATCACAATTGATCTAATAGGACATAATAAACAATATAAATAATATAAAACATGTTAAATACTCCAGAATAAATAATAATTGTCATAACACCGAGCAGTTCGACGGAGGTATGAAGAGGATATGGTATACAAATACCATTCTCCTATCCCTGTCTTGGTGGCTTATATTAGAGAAAACGGAGTGTAGCACAGGGCTAACTGTGATATACACTCGTACTGCACCATAAACATGAAACAAAAGTTATTTTCTCTATATAGATTATCTCACACAGCAGCATATGTGTAGAGAACCTAGGATAACCCAAAAGAGTCAACGTGGCTTATTTTTAGTACCTGGCTTGGGTTAGCCATACAGTGGACCCCTGCATAGCGACTTTAATCCGTGCAAGAGGGCTCATTGTTATGCGAAATGATCGGTATGCGAATGAATTTTCCCCATAAGAAATAATGGAAATCAAATTAATCCGTGCAAGACACCCAAAAGTATGAAAAAAAAAAAAATTACCACATGAAATGTTAATTTTAATACACACAAACTGAAAAAGGCATGCACAATTACATGACACTTACTTTTATTGAAGATCTGGTGATGATTGATGGGATGGGAGGAGGGGAGAGAGTTGTTAGTGTTGTGTTTAGAAGGGGAATCCCCTTCCATTAAGACTTGAGGTGTCGAGTCCTTTTCTGGGGTTACTTCCCTTCTTCTTTTAATGCCACTAGGACCAGCTTCAGAGTCACTGGACTTCTTTCGCACAACATATCTGTACATAGTGGCCTGTACCTCTCGTTCCTTTATGACTTCCCTAAAGTGTTTCACAACATTGTCAGTGTACAGGTTGCCAACACGGCTTGCAATAGCTGTGTGAGGGTGATTTTCATCCATGAAGGTTTGCACTTCAAGCCACTTTGCACAGATTTCCTTAATCTTTGTAGTAGGCAACTTCTTCAATTTCTCTCTCCCCTCCTCTGAACCAGTTTCCTCAGGTCTGGCCTCTTGCTGTTGAAGTTGATCTATCAGCTCATCAGTGGTTAGTTCTTCATTGTCCTCCTCCACCAACTCTTCCACATCCTCCCCACTAACCTCCAACCCCAAGGACTTTCCCAATGCCACAATGGATTCCTAAACTGGCATAATCCTCTCAGGGTTAGCCTCAAACCCTTCAAAATTCCTTTTGTCTATACATTCTGGCCACAGTTTCTTCCAAGCAGAGTTCAAGGTCTTAGTCACTCCCTCCCAAGCCTTACCTATAAGGTTTACACAATTGAGGATATTAAAGTGCTCTCTCCAAAACTCTCTTAGAGTCAGTTGAGTTTCTGAGGTCACTACAAAGCACCTTTCAAACAGAGCTTTTGTGTACAGTTTTTTGAAGTTTGCAATAACCTGCTGGTCCATGGGCTGCAGGAGAGGAGTGGTATTAGGAGGCAAAAACTTCACCTTAATGAATTTCATGTCCCCATAAAGTCGCTCTGCCATGTCTGTAGGATGACCAGGGGCATTGTCTAATACCAGGAGGCACTTAAGTTCTAATTTCTTTTCAGTTAGGTAATCTTTCACATTGGGGGCAAATGCATGGTGTAACCAGTCATAGAAAAAGTCCCTAGTGACCCATGCCTTACTGTTTGCCCTCCACAGCACACACAAATTCTCCTTGAGGACATTCTTTTGCCTGAACGGTCTGGGAGTTTCAGAGTGATACACTAATAAAGGCTTCACTTTGCAATCACCAGTAGCATTGGAACACATCAACAAAGTAAGCCTGTCTTTCATAGGCTTATGTCCTGGGAGTGCCTTTTCCTCCTCAGTAATGTACGTCCTGCTTGGCATTTTCTTCCAAAACAGGCCTGTTTCATCACAATTAAAGACTTGTTCAGGTTTCAGTCCTTCACTGTCTATGTACTCCTTGAATTCCTGCACATATTTTTCAGCTGCTTTGTGGTCCGAACTGGCAGCCTCACCATGCCTTATCACACTATGTATGCCACTACGCTTCTTAAATCTCTCAAACCAACCTTTGCTGGCCTTAAATTCACTCACATCATCACTAGTTGCAGGCATTTTTTTAATTAAATCCTCATGCAACTTCCTAACCTTTTCGCTTATGATCGCTTGAGAGACGCTATCTCCTGCTAGCTGTTTTTCATTTATCC